ACTCACTCCTCCACAATAACCTTCAAGAACGGCGCAGCTTTCACAATCCCTTCGATGGTAGCAAGAGATTGAACAAACGCGATTGGGATGATGAAGAAGAAGGTTAGGAAAAAGAAGGCAACATGCATTATCAGCCTCCTTACTGTCAAAGAAACGTACGGAATAGCAAGATTTGCCCAATACACATCTCGCGGTTCTGGAGCCCATTCGGTTAGCCATTGCGTTGGGTTCCGAGTCTGTTGAGTCTGAGCACAGACAGCAGCAGCCCATCGGGTTTTGAAGGAGACAAAAGCTGCTGGCATAATGGACTTGGGATCATTCACCACTTCCTCCCTTTCTTTAGCAATCTCTTCTGATGTTTTATCGATCTCAGCAATGTAATGCTCGATAGCATCGACTTTTTGTCCCCAAAGCCCAAGGAAGCCAAGCTGGTTTGTGAAGAGAATTATAAAATACGTCAATTTAACAGAACAGCGGAAAAAAAAAATCAACTTGTGACTTCATTTCACATACCTTCACCATAATTCTCTGAGTGTTATTTCTAGAGTATTTGAGCTGGTAGTAATCAAGCCAATTCTGCAGCTTTTTCTTCTTTTGTACCAAATCTGCGAGCTTGTTTGCATTGCATACAACCTACATTTTGTTTTCAGATGGAAGTAAGAACTCGCCGGTAAGCATATCATAGTCTCACAAAGTTTGTCTTTTTCTTACATCTCAATAATATCATAAATGAGAATACTTGATTGGTTCAAATTTCAAGCTTCTGAGAGATTTACCTGATGTGTCGAGTAGTGATCAGGGTGATTGACCAGGAAAAAATGCTCCACTGATTCACTAACAGATTCATCTGAGTCCGGAGGTACATTCCTAACAAGAACCTATCATAAATCCCAATATATTAGATCGCCGGCCACGACTTTACACTTCGACTTTATCATATGTGTTAAAACAATGGAAAGAAAGGAGTCTTACAGTGAACTGGTCAGGTCGACGAGCTTCTGATGCAACAAACTGGAGCCTCATGTTAGCAATCGTCTCATATTCTTTCATCAACACATAACAAGTCCAGATGGTAAAGGCATACGCCATTACTATATGAGTCCAAAACCTGGTAAAACAACATAATGTCAAGACATTGTAGCTCAAAACTTTGCTTGACCACCACATGGTTTGTGACAGATGTGAACACAAAAGACCAGAGGATGGTAAGGTCTTACGCACCTCATTGAATACTCTGGGATATTCGAAACAGAGAGTTTATCAATATCGCTCGAAGTTACATTCCTTAACTGCTTAGCCATCTCCAGTGTGTTGTTTGTCCAGTTAACTGGCACAAGTACTGCCCAAGCAAGCACTGCTATAGGAGCAAAGATCTTAAGCCTGCACATATAAACCAAAACAAAAGAGACATGTCTATCAAATCATAAGGAGAGAAGAAAATGGTATAGAGCTTTGAGTAAACTTTAGCACATAAACTTCTCAAGTCAATTGGGTTTGACTAAATAAGAAAACATTCCATACCAATCAAGCAAAACAAGCACATAACTAAAGACCTTGCAAAGTTCAAAACTTTACCCTAGCCAGTAAATCCGGAGATACACAACCGAATCCAAACCGGCATGATCGATAAGCTCAGGCTCAGGCATTTTCAAAGCTTCAGGCATCCAATTCAAGAACTTCACGTAAGACCTGAAGTCTAAGTTCACAAAGCGTTGTACAAAGGCGCCGCCACGCACAGGGCTGCTTCTTAGACCCTTTAGGTACCATTTCGAGAAGTAAACTCTATCATTGAAAGGTTGGAGCCTCAAAATCGCAAAGATTATGAAGAAAACAAAGGCACTGAGAATGTTTATCCCAGCTGATACACTAATATCCAGAAGTGTAGCCATCTTTTATATCCTTGATTCCTTAAAACTAAGAACTCAAACCTGTAAAACACACAAAGAAGCAGCAAAATTTGTTAAAAATTGAAGCTTTGATAATATGAACATTCGAAAGTAAAGCTATAAGAAGACTGTCACAAATCAAAATCTCTACCAAATCGGAATTTTGGTGAAACCCAAATTTGGAAGTGTGAAATTACAAAGAACTTTGTGAACAAAACCCCAAAGCACCAAATTCCAAAAAACAATTCGAATCTTTTACAGAAAAGCTTTAAAAGAACCGTGAAACAATTAAGGGTATCAAAAAAGTTTGCTTTTCGTTTAGCTACCCTCAAATTTACTCCAACGAAACAATGAGATCCAGTGACAAAATAATTTCATAAAAAGTTTTACAAATTAAAGAAAGGAAATAGAGAGAAACCCTAGAGAGGAGGAGTGGAATAAGCCAGTCTTTGAATTACTTCGAGATTCATCCAAAGCTAAGAACTTTATTTCTCTCTAACACAAACCAAAACCTCCCAAAAAAAGGTATATAGAGAAAAATTATAAACCGACTAAAAAGAATTTGCTTTTTTTTGGGAATATTATTATTAATTTGATAAGAGAAGCAGTTACAAAGGGTGAAGATTTAAGAGGAATGGGAGATGAAAAAAGATCGGATAGTCGCAAGGAAGAAGACGATTACTGTTCTCTATATACTATTTTTTTGTAACACTTATTGGATTTGTCTCGAAAGTATCA